TGTACAGTTTATGTTCACTTTGCATTATCTAGATAGTGAATATCAAGAAGCAATTTTAAAAATCTATATAAATTAGATTCAATGATTTTACTAATCATATAGAAAATCATGGAATCTATGAGAAGTATCAGACGGAGATAAAGCTTGTTTATGTGAACTAAATCCCTGTTGGAGCTTAGTGTGGCTTATTTTCCTCCCAGTTTAACTCATTGTGAAGATTAAAATGTTTCTTTAAGTATCACCTTCCTGTTTCTTATATCTGATGTATCTTTCACTCCATAACCTTTTCCTGAGAAGCAAGCTTGTTTTTTTTTTTCCCCAAAAGAAAAAAACTGCCTTTCAGTGAATCTTCCTGAAGATTGAAAATGACCTTTAGGGGAAGGGGGGAGTTATTATCTATAACTAATGTAATCAAAGATCCACCATCCTTTATCCATTCATTCATCCATTCATTTTACAAGCATTTATGGAGAGCCAGGAACTCTACTAGGCACTGGGAATACAGCAGTGAACAAACGGGACAAAAATTCCTGTCCTTATCATGCTAACATTCTAGTAGGAGGAGATATATAATAAATACATACATGCATGCACACATAATGCACACATATGTACATGCATATGTACATACATAAAATATATCAGATGATGATAAGTGCTATGGAGAAAAAAAGAGAGAAAGAAGGTTGGAGTGCCAGGGAGCAAGGGCTCAAATTTTACATTCAGGTGGTTAGGGAAGGCCTCAGTTAAAAAGTGATTCTTGAGCAGAGATGTGAATTGAGTGAGCCATGTGGCAAAGTAGGGAAGGAGCACGTGCAAAGGCCCTAAGGTTCAAGTGTGCCTCTTGTGCTTGAAGGACAGTGAGGAGGCAGCGTGGCTGGGGCAGAGCAAGTGAGAGGAGGTGGGAGAAGCTGAGGTCAAAGAGGCCACAGGGCCAGATCACACAGGCCCTTGCAGGGCATTGTAGGGACTTTGGCTCTTATGTCAAATGAGTCAGGGTCCTTGCAGAACTTTGAGCAGAGAAATGCCATACATGATCCAACATGCTTTAAAAGACCATTACTGTTTAGCTAACTTATTTTCAGGATTCTATCAGTCTCTGTACTGACAAAATAGCAGTGTAGTGATTAGAATTTAAACAAAGCCCTAATAGGTTTTACTGTTAAGTGGAAAATGATCATTCCTGGGAACACAACAAAACAAAAAGGCAGCCCACGACTACACAGATGGGAGGGGATAATGGGATAGTTACCCTGCAGCTGACAGCTTTGATCCACTAGATGGCAAATCCACATGTGACATTTATCAGAGCCAGATTGCCCACCTTCTGATCATAGTGACATTCTAGGGTGTCCAGCAATATCTAGTTGGGAAGCATGGAATGAACTTACTTTAAAATAGTAAAATAATAATTTTAAATATTTTAAATTGTATATTAAATAGTGATATTTTCAAATACATTCATGTGCCACATCAGGAAGTTTTGGTCAATGACAGATAATATATATGATGATGGCCCCATAAGATTATAATATTGTATTTTTACTGTACCTTTTCTGTGTTTAGATATGCTTAGATACACAAATACCATTGTGTAGTAATTGCCTACAGTATTCTGTACAATAACATGCTATTCAAGCTCGTAGCCTAGGAGCATAGGCTATATCATCTAGTCTAGGTGTGTAATAGGCTATACCACCTAGGTTTGTATAAGTATACTCTATAATGTTCACACAAGGACAAAATTACCTAATGACATGTTTCTCAAAACGTATTTCTGTCATTAAGTGACGATGACTATAATATGTTCAACATGTGTTCAGATGGATCGCATCTGCAGTTAAAGCAATGGGTTTAGTTGTTAATTAGAAAAAGTACCCCAAATACACCTGAGTGTCCAAAAACTCTAGAAATACAGAGAAAATTATATATCTATTGTATTCTTTAAGAATAACAGCTGAAACCATTGCTTTAAATTTGAGTCACTTCCCCTTGAAAGGTGTCTAGAAATTGAAGAAGGATCTATGAGTGTATTATTTTACAATGTGACTAACACTGATTAAAAATTAGTTTATCCTGTTTTTTTGTCTTTGTGGACATCATGTATTAGGTTGAACAATATAAAATTGCCATGTTTGTACTTTAAAAATGGTCTAATATCAGTGAATTCATATGATGTAATCTAATATAAATATATAGAGCATCCGCATGGCTCACATGTGATCGTTGTGATGCCACCATTCGGATGCAGGGTTGTCATTGTGAGGGCACTATGAGACAATCATGAACTTTCTATGTCTTTTGCATGGTCAGGTAGTGTGTGCATCAGGCAATGTTATCCCATTCCTGAGCCTTGCTCCTTCCCTGAGTCTGGAAGAAGCTTAGGCAGGCCTGAGGGCTGTGGCAAGGTGGAGAGTTGGAATAAGACTTTTTGTGTAAAGAGGTCAGAAAGTGATGGTGAGAGAGGAGTGAGTTTCATGATTGTTTCTTGCTTGTTGCTACTTAGTAATAAAAGACAATCCTTTTAATGACGTTTTATGTAGGATGAAATAAATGGGTGGACCATAAAAGCTATAATACAGTCTTTATAGTAAAAGAGTTGCATCAAACGGACCATACCACAAAGTCCTATTTTCAATACTGCATTGTGACAGTAACGTATTTTCTAAAATGGCATTTTCCAGCTGGACTTTTCCCAATGATGGAAATGTTCTCTATCTGCACTGTCCAAGACAGTAGCCACACAAGACTATTGAGTACTTGAAATGTGGCCAGTACAAGTGAGGAACTGAATTCTTAATTAATTGTAACTAATTTAAATTTAAGAAACCACATGCGATATTAACACAGTTCTAGAAATTGGATAATTCAGATTTCTTACTATGATCTACAGAAGTGGGGACACTGACTTAAGGGATGTAACTATTTTTTTAAATACAGTTTCTAGTTTAATCAAGAAAAGAACAATTTAAGGGAGAGAAAATGAACTAAGTTTTTTGTGAAAAGACAGAGAAACCTGGTGATCAGAGAAGATGCCAAGGTGCTAAGCCTAAATTCAGGGAGACTCCAAGAAGAACAATTTAAAAATCAACCGTAGTAAGATCATATTTTGAGAGCACTCTAAAAGCCACAAATGTGTAGCTGTCTGTATGTATGTGCTAAGCTTAGTAAAAATCAGAAGGCATTTGGCAGATAAATGCTTGAGTTGAAAAAAAATAATTGAATGTAGCAATTCCAAGTTCCCACTTGTTCGGCAATCTGTTTAGCTTCATATCAGAGTCAGTGTTAATAATCAAAAATAATTCCATTTGTTGCACATGCCAGCACTTGGATTTCCAATGTATAATCTCTTGTTCTGTCATTTCCACTTTCCCTTTCACCAATATGATAAGCGAATAGTATAAGAAATAGACAATGTTTATACAGAGACTGGATAGTCATTTAATAACAGTAATGATAGTATCACATTGAAGCTCCCTATGTGTCAGGCAGTGTTTAAGCTTTTAACACATATTAACTCATTTGGAAGATAATTAGGCATTCAATAGATCTTAGTTGCTAGTTGCTACGTAGTATTTTCACTGCAAGAGATATAATTTTAAATTGTGATGGAAATTTAGAGAGTCATGGGTGTTCATCTACGTGGGAGCTGTAACTGAGGATGGATAGAGCAAATTCATATTTTTTGGAATGGGGAAGACTCTAACAATCTTAGTTCTGAGATCTGAAAGAGGGTGGACCAAATAAGAGAGGTAAATACATCCAATAGCAGAAAAAGTGCTGAAAAAGCTAATAGTTGGGACTGATTTGTCAGAGACCGTCTGGGACCAGGCACCCATGTTTGCTAGTTGTAGAGTCATTAAACAAAATAGATGAGGGCCAACAGAGGGTGGGGACAGGTGTGTTTAGCAGACCAGGAATGATACACCTTCCTTCCTGCCTAAGAGTATCCAGCTGGTTCTTATTGCCACACACCTGGAGTAGTGGATAAATTTGACCCCACATTTCTTATTAACTCTCTTTTTCTTTGTATAAAAACTAAAATTTACATTAAAGCCTATATTAGGCAAAAGTTGTTTTACATTTTAAGTTGAAGATTAGAATAACTCCTACCACTAAATAGATATAGTGGATATCTAAACTATTTAATCATTATTCATACAGTTTCAAAAACTTTCTATCTCCCCCTCCTTCCTCCCCCCACACCCTCTGATATAAATTTCTAGCCATGGTTCTATTTGATTACAAAGAAATAGTGCTTATCCCATGAGAACACTGAAATGATAGCCTCACACCCTGAATTAGTAGGTGCCATTTAACCTTATGGTATAACTCTTATCCTTCACATTCTCCAGCTGAACTGGTACTTAAAACAAGTATTCTCCAAAAGTACCAACAGATAAGGATGCAATTACCAATACAGATACAGACAGGGTTTCCTTATGAGAACATTAATGTTAGACTGGGCAGAGGGTCAGTTTCTTAGCCTCCTCATTCTCTGAGAGTGTTCTGATGGATTAGAATTCTTCTGATGGATTAGAATTCTTCTCTTTCTTTTTCCCCACAGGGAAACTATGTGTCTGCAAGGGCTTATTATGAGAAAGCCTTACAGCTGGTTCCAGACAGCAAACTGCTGAAGGAAAATCTTGCCAAATTGGATCGCCTAGAAAAACGATTGCAAGAAGTTCGAGAAAAGGATCGAACGTAGCACCGTTTGACCCAGTCTCATGGGATAATGCGGGTGCCTCTGAAAGAGGAAAAGGAGATGGAGGCCTTGCTTTCACATCAGCAGGGCCACAACCAAGGAAGCTCTCTTCTCATTCTGAGTTCAGGGTGGCATACTTTCGGACATCTGCTGGTAATCCAGTGCTGAAGGACTTTCTATGAAAGAAGACAAAAAGAGCAAGCATGGGCAAGAAGGTCTGAGAGGGAAGGAAAACAACCACACATTTTACAGATTTTTGTTTGGTTTAATTTCAGATTTCCCTTGACATATTTCTATGGTTTTGCAACCTGGAGATCTAATTCCACTTCTTTGTTTAGACTTTTATGTCCCAGAAATACAGAAGCTTAAAATGCTACGAGGACAGAGCTTGTATTCTCTATGGGATGAGATATTTCATCCCATAGAGATGGCGTAAGCCATATGGAAAATTCTGCCAAGAATTGGCTCATTTAATTCTCCAGAACCGAAAATGTATATCTAATAGCTTTTGTAGAACCTTCCAGAATATGTGAGGAAAAGGGCTATTGTTAAGTAGCTTTATCTTGTATCCTCCTAAGGATATTACTAGAGCCCTTTCGAGAAATAAATTCCACTCTGGTCCAAGTTTTTCCCATTGCCTAATATATCAAAAGGGAAGCTTCTGGAATTATATATGGATATCTTTATCCCTAGGGGAAAATCAAGGAACTTGGTACCCCTAATTCTTTATGGAAATGTTTAAAATTATTTTAATTTTACTGTAAGTATTACTGGAGTAGTGATTCTACTCAAAAGATTTCAAAAGTGCATTTAAAATGATAGATGTTTCTGCCTCCAAATATATTGTTATTTTGGTGGAGAAAAAATATAGTATATTCTACGTAAAAAATATTAAAGATATTAACTGAGAGAAATGTCCTACTTTATTATCTTAATGTTGAGACATGAGATTTATTTTTTTGAAAAATATATTTAACAGTGAGAAACCTTTATGGTATACCCCAAAAATCTTCATAGACTCTAACTAGATGGAAAGAGAGCTCTATTTATTGGTCTTCCTAGGCTTAAAGAGAATTTTTGGCTTAGAACATGAGTGATTGAAACCCAGAGTTCTTTGCTTTGGGGAATATCATGGAGAATGCTCTAAAAATTTAGGAAAAAAGTCTAAATTCATAAGCTTAAAAACATAGATTTATATTTAAAAGATAGGGAAGGCAAAGTTGAACTCAGAATTCGACATTTATTTTTAGTACATTATTTATTTCATAACTTATAAAATATTTAATATATATAGACACTTCTTTTTCTCTCTGTACAAAGTGGTTTTAATAGCAGCTTTCAAAACTGATCTTTTAAAAATATAAATCTAAATTACAAAATAGTTAAGTTTTAACAGTCCCTTCAAAAATTTGTACTGATTATTCACTTGCTAAAATTAAAGAAATTTGGAGTCAGCCGTCAGTGTTCAGATAGTAATATATTTTGGAAGTGGAGAAATTGGAACACCTGATTCCAATTTGGTTCTCATCATTAAAAACAAAGCCCCTCCAGGCAGCGCTGCTCTGGGTGCTGAGCCCGCAGGGTATCACATAGATGTAGTAGCCTGAAGGCACAATATTTCACATGCTCAGGCCAGGGCAAGGTAAAAATAGCTTTCTGCTTCCTTCAACCCAGTATCAGGAAGCACTACCCCTGTATGTTTTTGTTTTTTGTTTTTTGGGGGGGTCAAGTCTAAATAAACGGAAGAAAAAACTTCTTTGGAAAGGGATGGTGTAAGAATATTTAAATGGAGACGATTACAGAATTAGCATGCATCTTTGTGCAACAGTAATTCAATAATATATATTACCACTATGACCTTTGCTTCTAATAGTTTTGCAGTGTTATATATCATAAATTTATACAAAATCTTAGTTAAGATATTTTCTTCCCCCCCCCAAAATTATAGTTCTGAGACCAAGAAATACACTACAGTGTTTATTATAAAATAACCACCCCACCCCCAAATTGAAAAACAGGAAACCCTAGCTAATAACAATACCTAGGACTTTATCACAACTTTTCAAAATAATCTGAAACCAAAACTCATGCTTAAAAAGTTAGTAGAAAAGACTGAGCCCCAAATTTTGAACAGCACTTAATGCCTTACTTCAAGTGCTGCTTAAGGTAGGAGAGTACCTTTATTTGTTGGGATAATTGAAATGGCAATTTCAGCCTAAAAGTTTTGAGGGAAATGGGTCAATGGCCTTCAGGAAATTTTCTCTGCCTTCTTTTAGGTGCTTTTCTATCTCTCCCCATCCTCCTTCCGTTTCCTTCTCTCCTCCTGTGCTTCCCTCGCTCTTTCTCTCGCTTTGTCACCGTCTCATTCTATCTGCACACACTGCATCTCTTTGAACATTAAAAGTGAGCACTGTTTTTAAAAAAAGTTAGTATTGTTTGTTGGATTAGATATTTTCATCCCAACATAATACCTTCACCAAGATGTGGCTAATGAAATATTTATAGTTTTTCACATTTAAAATAATGCCAATAAGAAAATAAATCACAAACTATCTTTCAAAGATATTAAATGTATTTTGTAACTATTTTTATTTGGTCCTTGTAACATGATATAATAAGTGGAATTCATCCTTATTGAAATAAAAATGGAGTGCCCTGGCAAGCCATGGAGGTGCATCCAGTTTGCCCTTATTGAAAGCATACTTGCCATGAGAATTCTAGCACCTTTTTGGAATAAATGAGCAGAATTGCTTGCTTCATGGGTGTGCGATGCTTGCTATCCCATGGGATGCTACACTCAGAAGCACCCAAACTTAGTTGAATACTCTGCTTGAAGTTCTTAATAATTTTTAAACACAGGGGACACAATTTCATTTTGCACTGGGTTCCCAAACAGGTCCTGGGTAAGAAGGAAAGTGGCTAAGGACAAGATTAGGAGCTGCTTTGGCGTGGCTGAACATTTGATCCACTGATCAGAGTTTCATTTGGCATTGTGTTACCCTGAGCAGCATTTGCTATTTTTCTCAGCTACGTTTAGAATCCCTCATGTACATATCTCCCCTCTTCTCCCAGCCCATCTAACTAGTACTTCCATCCTACCTAGAATCAGGTCTCCTCGCCTTCAAAATCCCAATAAGTGGCAGTCCCTTACCATGTCCTTTGACATAGAAGCCATGAGAATGGCTTTAGCTGCTTATTTTAACCTTACAAATTATTAATTCAGGATTTTAAAAATGATTCAGATGTTTTCAATGTGTTAACATATTCATAAAACATGGTTCAATAATATAACATAGGTAAATTAAGCCAAAGATGCAAATACCTTGGAGGAAAAGAAATTTTATTTAGAGAATCCTGAAATATATTCTTTTGGGTTTGTTTATTATGAAGCCTGTCACAGAACAAAGAGGATTGTCAGCACTTTAATTCCAACTCCCTGCAGTGCTTCACAACCGTTAGCATGAGATTCTGAAATTTGTAATCGGGGATACCTAGTTGGATGCAGGGTTTTGTAGTGATTGTGCGAATGTTTCTGTGCAACTGCTTTTCAGCCAGACCAAATAAGAAAATCCTAACATCCTACACAAATCAACCTATGAAAACTGTAATTTAAGGGGGAATATAAAGCAGATGTGTGGTTTCTTATTTTCACTATTACCCAGGCCAGGTCCCTCAGATTTAAGAGCCCCATTCAGCTGATAGTTGAGATCTGTTCCTCACATACAGTGGCTCTCAACACTGACTGCACTTAAGAATCACCTGGGGACCTCTCAAAATCTTTAATACCTGGCTGTCCAGATAATGATTCTAATGTGCAGCTAGAATTCTCTAGAACCACTACAGGGCTGACAACTTGAATGGGAGTTTGTGGCTTTTACAAAAGAGATGTTTATAATCTTTTGCAATTTTACCTTTAAGTCTAGACTAAAATGAGCCAAAGAATTCTAAAGAATGATTTATGGAGCAATTGGTTGATTGATGCTGTCATTCCAAGATTGACAAACAGGTGGTTGTAAGGGGTGGATTTGCACATGTGGCAATTGGACTACAATTTGGCCTTACATTTCCAGAATTCTTGGTTCTCAGATGGAGAGGAATTGCCTTGAAATTTGCATGCAGCAGACCAAGTGCCCAGGATATAAAACTGATATTTTTATGACTCATAGAAGGTATCCTTGGCATAGAGTTTACACCTACATCTGTGTCTCTCTTTCTTTTGGGCACACACATGTGCTTTTGTTAATTATGTCTTAATTGCACTTATTAAACTAATTGTGTTAGTTTTGGGGGAAAAATACAAACAAAGGCTTTTGCTTTAATTTGTGGTACATTCACCCCTTCAGAATAATAAGGGATATTAGTAATGACATTCAAAGCAAATATAGCTAGAGGTGGTTTGTTTGTTTTTTAATTTTTTTGTCCTGGTTTCTAAATCACATTTACTTTGATTTGATTGTATGTTGGTATCTCCCAAATATAGCAAAATTTTACTATCTAAATGGCATCTTTTGACATTTAAAAAGAATAAATACCTGTCAAATCTTGAATTTAGGCTGTAGTTGAATAAGAGAAAAGCTTAGGATTCTAAAACATGATATAGGGAAATATTTTAATTTATGGTTATTCTTGAAGGTTTTGATACACACGAAAAGTATGTCGAATAGGCCTTCCAAAAATAGCATTTCCCTCTATATTTTTGTTTTTAATAGCCATATAACTTAAAGAAAAGAGATAAAATAAGTGCAATCACAAGTGTGGTTTAATATCAATGAAAATGGCACAACAGAAATGATAAGATATTTGTAACAATCGATTGGCTCATATTAAAATGTTCTATTTTTCCACCAAGGATCCTTTCCTGTAGGGCACGTAACTCATAAAATCAGCACCCATCACAACATATGGTCATTTCAGTTTGTAAGTTTAGATCACCATTGACTCCCGACTGGAAAGAGATGTGCACATCTAGAAGTCTAGGAGTTTCTTCATATCCTCAGTGCTGCACATGGTGTATATTTGTATCACGCTTGGTAGATGGAATGTGTGTAATGTCCTTTTGGGGTTATTTATCTTGCTGGTCCATAGGAGGGGTACAGTAGTCCAAGAATCAAGACATCTGAATTCTAGTTCTAGCTCTGCCACGCAGGGGCCACCTCACCTGGGGCAAGTTAGCCAAAGTCTCAGTCATGTTTACCACCCATAAAAGGACTGGTCAGCCCGATGGTTCCATTAAGCTCTTCGAGCCTCTGCAGTGGTTACTCTTGAATCTGGATTAAAAAGCACTATGTATCTGATGAGATAACAGATAAATGTCACCCTTTGTTTTAAGGATTTTTAAGATAATCATTATCACTGCAACAAAACACATAGACAAAGAAACCTAAAAGTGACTGAATTTCCCAAGTGCTTGAACATGACAGAGGTAATTACTCCTGTGTTACAGTCTGTGCACTTAAAAACATTTTACAGTGATTGTTACTTTACTGGGGAAAAAAGATAAGATAAAATTTCCTCCTAAGGAATTAAGATACCGGTAGGAGCCATGGCTTGCTTTTATAATATGGAAATCATTTGATTTGCTGTGACTCGACACAGATCCCTCCTTTTGTCAGGAGGAAATGACTTGCATCATGTTCTTTGTTCATAATGCCTTTATTTCCTATTTCGATCAGTTGTATATAAATGTATAATTTTTGTTACTTTTTGCTGTGCCAGTTAGAAAAATTTCTCCCGTGAAGTATTTCTCCCATTAAGTCTATGTATACTTTGCCCAGGTCTTTCCAAAATAAAATTTATGTAAATGTCTATTTTATATAAAATATGATGAAAATAAGTATGTGTGGTTTCAATCTCTCACGTATTGTGTGGTTAGTACCTATTGACATCCATGCCATCTTCCTTCCTGCCCTCCATCATTCATTTACTCATGGCATGCTTCTGCATGCTTCCTGTCTGCTCTTTCCCTTACTCCACACAATGCCTGCTTCAGTGCTTACCCACTCCAGATCAGATGCCTTCACCTCTTTCTTTACAGAGTAAATAAAAGGTAGAAACCAGGTATTCCCTCAATATCCTGCACTCCATCTATAAATGTACCGGCACTGAATTCTATGCTTTCTTTTCTCCTATTGCCACAATGGAAGAAGAGGGCCCTAAGGCTCTGGATTTTGCCTCTTGTGCAACTTCATTCCATCGATTAACTTCTCTTTCATCTTTTTACTTCTTTCTTTTGCTGGTTCTTATCAATTTGTCAGTTTCCCTCTATCTTAATACACATATATAGGTAATCACCATCAAAACCATTTGGAAAAAAAAATCCTCTATTCTGTGTCATCTCTAGCTACTATTGCCTCTCTGTCCTTCACAGCCAAGCTTTTTGATAGCAGATTACTGTTGTCCTACACTAGTGCAGACATGTCCAAATTAAAGACAGATTTATCATGTATCACAAATCCTTTCTGGGGTAACCCAACTCACTCCCCTCCCTGAGAATCTTTTCCTTTTCAAAAGTTATTTTAAAAAGAAAAAGAGGGGTCTTCCCTTTGGTTGCTTCAACGTTACCACAAACTCAACTTGTATTTAAACCATTATCTTATTAGAAAATTTGGATCTAAAACTAATCACCTGGCTATTTTGTATGTATGTAATTCTTAATGAATGCCTCTTTTTCCATTTAATGGGAAGGCATTCTTTTGTTAGTCCTGTAAGGGACCAATCCTCTGTATGTGAGGACACAGTCTCACTTGAGGCTGTGAGTTTTGAACTCTGGCAACAAAGGGAGCTAATTCTGTAACAGAAAATGAGACAGTGCCCAATGCACAGAGGCTCCCAGGTTTGAAACAAAGAAACCATGAACATCCTGCCAAGCTGTGTGCTATGTGCAGAAGAACACACGGGTGCCATGTCTGTCAGCCTCACGGGATGGTTAACCACAGTGTGACCAGTACCTTGAACATCATATGCCTGACTGTTCTTGCACATCACATGTTTATTTTTTTCCCCTTTCTCTTTTTATTTAGTAAAGACTTTTTGATGGTTTTAACCTGACCTCTTGCTAAAAATGAAGAGGGCTTTGGGTCTATTTGGGGGCTCTGAGCTTTCACTGGAGAACAGTATGCCCCTGGAGCCAGCATGGTGGTTCACATGGCAATCCTTGTGAGATGACTACAAGGTGGAGAGTGATGAGCGCCACTGGTCAGGCAGGTACCATTCCCAGAGATTTCCTGGACAGTACTCAAGCCTGGAGGTTCAGCACTCTATTTTCACAGAAGAGCTGCTTACCTTACCAAGCCCCTTCCCTCAGGGCACACCCACTATTCCCTACACGCCCATGCTTCAAACCCAGCAGTCACCTACTCAGTCAAACTGTCCAAGGTGTCTGTATTTGAAATAAATACTCAAAAGAAAATGGCGCTACTCTCAAGAACAGCACGGTCCAATAGAACTATTTGCAATGACAGAAATGTTCTATTCTTATGCTGTCCAATATGGTAGCCACTAGCGACAGTGGCTACTCAGTACTTGAAATGTTAACTAATGTGACTGAAGAACTGAATTTTTAATTTTTACTTAGTTTTAATTTAAATAGCCACATAGGGCTAATGTCCACCATATTGGTAAGTGCAGCTCTAGAGCTTTTCAACAGTGTGAGATTTGGAACATAAAAATCACAGAAACTCTTTTTGGGTTCATGGGACAAGATTTGAACTATGTGTTTCAAGTTTGGGGGCCAATCATGTTTTTTAGGCTTTTCACCAAAAGGTGTCCATTCGCCCTCTTCTCTCTTCTGTAGTTACAGGGGCCGTTGCCCCCAGCTGGTCATCACCTGCTTATTATACCTGTACCTGCATTCTCTCCACCTTGACTGTCTTCTGTGTTCCTGTTCACTTGTTTACCTCCTGCCTGTCTCCCTCAGTTTGTTTACTCCCTACCTCAAGGAGCCTTTATTTCTGTTTTACATGAAATCAAGACAACTGAGTCTGGGGATTGGTATCCAGGTCAGTCGATTGATTGTGTGTATGTGTGTGTGTGTGTGTGTGTGTGTGTATAAAATACCCGAGGTAGCCTTGCCCTACTTTTCTGACAAAATATAAGTCCACCACAAATTCTGGCTTTATTCCTCTCCCAAACTAAAGCTAACTTATTGCTAACTTATTCCAAAATAATATTTATGGAAAAATTGCTGACATGATCATCTTACCAATGAATTGATTTTAATAATCTTACATGATGGATTCTACAGCCGTGGGCCATTCTGCTGAAGCTGAGGACAATACTGCCACCTGGAAAAGCCTGGCAGCATAAACCTCATTCTTCCTATCTACTGTGTTGCAAAACTCTCCAGGGTTAAGGGCTTTAAGCAGCTGCTTCGAAGAGGGCAGTACTGTGGTCAGCCTTAGAGTCTCCCTGCGCCTGCCTTTCGGAAGTGCGCTGCCTGCGCCTACCATAGAGGACCAGCCTCATTGCCCCTGGGCTTGGGCCACACTCCCTGGTGTGGGACAGCATTCATCAGACTACGGTTCTAGGCCACTGATCACCGTGCTCCCAGGATCTGTCCGTGGGGGCCACTGCACGTGTGCGAGCGGCCCTCACGTCACTCTCCAGGGCCCTAGGGCAGGGCAGCAAGGCGCTCTGACACGGGGGTTGGCCAGAGAGCGGCAGCAGCGTCTCGGAATGATCCTGAAGAGGAACACCTGTGAGCCCAGGAGCCCAGGCAGGTGCTGCCCATCGGCAGGAGAGAATAAAGGGTGCGGCCGGGCCCACCTTCCTCGCACGCGCGGTGGTTGCGGGGAGGGACGACGCGCCAGGTCCCGGTGCGTGGGGGCCATGGGCGCGCCGGTCGGGGCTGGTTTGCTGCTGTTGGTCGTCGTCGGCCTGCCCCAAAGCCTAGGTGAGCCCAGGCCCCTCGGCACCAGGGCTGCGGGGGAGGGATGACTTCCTCACTCCTTGCGCCAGGACTGCCGGGTGGCGCAGCCACACACGACACGTCTGAGAAGACAGGGTGAGGGGAAATGGTACGGGCCCAAATGTTCCCAAAGGAAGGCCTAGGCCAGGTTTCCTTTTTGAAATTTCTTGGACTCCTAGTTTTTAGGCACATCTGCTACGCATGTTTGTGCTAAGGAGTTTCCTCCGAAGAAACACAACCTAGTAAAAGTAACTTAAAGCCAAATATCCCTCTTCCAGAGTAGCATATGTTGTTCCCAGTATCTTTAATACACCCTAAATTTCGCAAAGTGCGTCCTCCCAGAGTAAGCCCCAAATCCACCACCAGAGGCAGAGCTGGCGCCTTCCTGCCCGGGGTGTTACCTTGTTATGGTATCTCAGGCCGAGAAGGGGCAGAAGGCAAGCTCTAGCCGGCGGAGGGTGGGCGTGGGATTTTCTGAGGAGAATACTAAGAAAAGGGGATAGCCCGCAGCTGAGTGATTGCAGAACATCTGTGCCAGTCCCGGGAAATCAGGACGTGAAATCCGGATACAGTGACTCTTAGTAAGGCTCTGTGTGTGAGCACGCATACACATGCTCTTCTAACAGGACTGAGGTGTGGAGCTCGTGCAGTTGATTTGGAAAGCAAGGAACCTGCGGCGGAATCTGGGTTCTTCTCCAGAATTATTAGCTGGAGAAATTCAACAGTGGGTGGCCATCCATGGCAGGTCAGTATAACAGACTTTGATTTCTGAATGAGTAAATGGTGAGCTATTAATATTTCCTGTTTCAAATATCAAGAGTCTGGGTTAATATGTATTTTTTCCCCTGGCCGCTACCTCTGTACCAAAAAGTTTACATCCATGGGAAATAGCTTACTATCCAATTTATGTCAGTATTTTAAGAATATTATGTCAGATTAGAAGAGTTGATCTCAAATGTTTCTGAAGGAGACAACATCTATGGGGAGATACATATTAGTTGTGCTTGTAACTTTCTTCTTGGGCAGGTCTCCCTAAAGTTAGGTGAGCACCACTTCTGTGGAGGAAGCTTGATTCAAGATGATCAGGTGGTCACAGCAGCACACTGCCTGGCTAGCCTCAATGAGTAAGTTGTGGTTTTCCATTATGTATCCAACCTTGATTTATGGCTATGGGACTGGGAGATTTGATGCTCTAAATACCATACAAGGTTCAATCTCAGTCGCTTTCTTATTTTTGCTACCTAGTGCACCTACCCAATGATCTTCCTGATTCCCAGAAACTTGTGTTTTTCCCAAGATTTCCAGCACTTCGTGCTCTACTAAATAGAGAAACTCCCAAAGATCCCAGACAGCCTCCATAATTTGTGGATTGTGGGTTTAGCAATTGGGTAGGGGTGGTGGTTACTTATTATAATAAAGTATTAACATTGAATATTAAATGTATGCTCCAAAGGTTTAATCATCTGAATATAAGTCATTAGGAGGGAGAAAAAGCTGAAGAAATAGCAAATACTTGGCCAGATTAAAAGGGGATACTAGTAAGAGAAAAGGAGGGACAGTTCTAGAAGCTAACTTTTGTATCTTGTTAAATATGGTATAGCATGTATAGACCATGGTTTATATAAAAAAGAAGAAATGGAAGCAATATTTAAATACTTAGAAAGACATGAAAGTAGTAGATGAAAGTGTTCACAAGAATGTAAACAAATATTCTGTGACTGAAAACCATGACTTTTTATAGATCAAAAAATTAGAAATTATGGCCCTTGATAATTCAATAATAAACATCTTCTGTAAAGACTTGGAACCTTAATAACTTTAATCACATAAAACCAAGAAGTCTTTCCTAGAAGAAACAACTACTTATTGGAACATTTCTCTTTGATTGTAGGAAGCAACGTAAGAGTCTAACTGTGACTTCTGGAGAATACAGCCTCCTTCAGAAGGATAAGCAAGAACAGAATATTCCTGTCTCAAAAATTATTATCCATCCTGAATACAACAGGCTTGGATATATGAGTGCTGATATTGCACTGCTGTATCTGAAACACAAAGTGAAGTTTGGTAAGTAGGGAGAGTTAGAATGTAAAAAATGCAATAGAGAAAACTGCTAATTGTGTCCAAGTTAACTTTAATTTCTGTGTGATGTCTAGTAACAGAATAGCTAAGCTTTATTTTAAACACCTTGTTCAATCTATAACCTATAAAAATAAAAAGTACTGTGCAGGCTGGGAGTCCCAGTCACAAATTATGTATGCTTAACCTACCAATCAGCATTTTAAGACACTCCTGTCTTGGCTGTGCTATATTGTAGACCATCTACTCATATTCAGCTCTGACCAAGGAGTTTGGGATCTTTTAAAATATTTTCAGAGGCTTTTCTTTTCTGTCATTATTATAGATTAGATACCCAATGCTGTCTCAGCACAGATAACCTAAACATTCTGGATAAAATACTAAAAACCTTTTTTTTTTTTTTTTTGATGCAAGTAAAGGAAGTGTTCATTAGCCAAAAACAATCCTGTCTTGGCTGTGCTATATTGTAGACCATCTACTCATATTCAGCTCTGACCAAGGAGTTTGGGATCTTTTAAAATATTTTCAGAGGCTTTTCTTTTCTGTCATTATTATAGATTAGATACCCAATGCTGTCTCAGCACAGATAACCTAAACATTCTGGATAAAATACTAAAAACCTTTTTTTTTTTTTTTTTGATGCAAGTAAAGGAAGTGTTCATTAGCCAAAAACAATAAAAGAGCACAATTCCAGGGGAGTTAGCCAGCCACTGAGGCAGGCCACTGCCCTTGAGGCATCTAATTGATCTTTAAGATCCTAGAGATTTACCTGACCATATGAGGAGCTACAAAATATCTAGGACTTACTGAAAGGCAATGCTGTGAAAGCTAGAGAAAAATAAGGGGTGGGGGTGGTAGAATACAGCACACAAAGTGTAGGAATAAGGAAACTTATTCTGAACCTTGGCTCTGGGCAGAGGGTTCTCAGAAGAATCTGTAATCATGAGCCAACCCTTGTTGAGGTTTGCTGGAATTGACATTACCTGTGTGGCCCCAAAACTCCAAGGGCAAGATTTTAGTTTAAAGTGGTTCCAGGTGAGTAATCAGAGCTTCTGGCAGAAGCAAAAGTAAATCTTCTCTGAAGAAATGAACCTTAAATCCCAGCTTCAGTGTATTCCCACAGTTTTAATGACTGTGAGCACATAAACATGCAGTGATATTCGCCATCAAAGACAATCAAACATGAACAACCAGAATCAGACCTTCGAAGATTACAGATGTCAAAATGAGATACGGCATAGGAAATAAGCATATTTTACTTAGGTTTAAAGAAGCAGAAGTGTATTGGAGATAACTGAAGGATCGGAAACTACTACATGGAGGGGAAACTTTGAAAAGGAGCCAATAACACATGAAGATATAAAAATATAATTGAAATTAGAAACTCAATGGAAGGATTATCCACCAGATTACATACAGGGAACTGGGCAATCTGAAATAATTACCCAGAAGAGACAAAGAGGGTAAGAGATATGGAGAAGAGAAACTGAAAGAATATAGTAAACCTTCAATTTGAACTTAAAAATGAATATGGATAATGAGGGAGAGAGGATCTGATTTAAGAGAAAGTGGCCAGGGGGTTAACCGTACTTGATAAGACACAAATCTTTAGATTTAAAAAGACCAGTAACTCCAACTATGATACAAAAAATAACTTAGGCATGTGCTGAAAATGTGGCATCCTAAAAACAGTGGATCTCAAAAACTACAGGGAAAAAAAACCGGATTACTGAAAAAGGAATGAAAATTAGAGTGGCAGCTGACTTCTCAGTAGCAGTACATGAAAGAAGACAAAACAAGATTATCAAAATCCTGAGAATAACTCAAACTAGAATTATATATATTGTAGGAAGCTATTGCCCCATTTATTTCTTTCCTTTATAGAAAAACTGCAAAGAGCCATCTGTGCTAGTTGCGTCAATTTCCTCAATTCTCATAATTGGATGTATCAGGGTAAGTTGTCTGTTAGACATCCAAGTTGATCAGACTTTCACTACTCCACCAAATGTGCTCTTGTCACAGTCACAAATGATCTCTGTGTTTCTGAATTCAAAGGTTAAATTCTCAGTTCTCATCTTTCTGGATATGAGTTTTTAGCAGGTTTTCTCATTCTCTTCCTGGAAATATTTCCTTCATTTGAATTCCAGGAACCTGTTGTTTTTCCTCCTATCCCTTTGCAGCCTGTCTTAGTTCTGTGATGAGGCCTCCTCTTCCCCTTGCCCTCCTATTGTTGGAGCACCCCAGGGCTCAGCCCTGGCCTATTTCATTCTCTGTTTGTGTTCAGTCCCTTAATGATCTCATCCAGAATCAAGGCTTTAAATACCATCTCCTTGAAGACTACTCCAAATTTCATACCTCTAGCCCAGGTTTCTATATGTTGCCTATGTGTCTGGAATTAATGGAATTCATATAACCAACTGCCATCCTGGATGGCTAACAGGCACCTCAAACTGAATATGTTTAAAATAGAATCCTGTTTGGCCCCCACATCCCACACATGCTTACCCTTAGACTGCTTCATCTCAACGACAACTCCTTCCTTCCAATTATTTAAGCTAAAAACTTTGGACTAATCTTTGATCTTTCTCTGACACTGTACATCCAGTGCATCAGAAAATCCTGTTGCTTCTGCCTCAGCCACTTACTCTTCTACCATCCTGTTCCAGCCCACACTACCATCATTTCTTACCTGTGCTAATTTTAAGGGTTTCTGAAATTGTCTTGAGCTGCTATTTCTTCATCCCTAATTATTATTAAGCCAGCAGCCAGAATAGTATGTCTTAAAATGTAAATCAAATTGTCACTCTTTCAAACTATTTCAGTGGTTCCCCATTATACTCAGATGAAAATGGCGTCATCATCTGACCTCTCCTTCCTCCCAATCCTACGTCTCACCTCTGCTTTATTTTTCACTAAACTTCCTTTTGCTTTAATCCACTCCAGTCATCTTGGCCTCCCCACTGTTTCCAGTACATATACAGGATCCTGCTGCATGGACTTTCCATCCTGTCTCCTCATGAAATGCTTTCAGCCCAGACAACTGCATGATTCCTTCCCTCAGCTTCCTTTGCTCAAATGTCATCTATTCGATGAAACTTGCCATGACACTGTGTTTAAAACTATTACTCCTGTGTCATCTTCCCTAATCTCCAGACTTCTTGTCTTTATCCTACCCTGATTTTTCCAGAGTATGTATTATCCAACCACTAAATAATTATATTTATTATTTGTATCTCCACCACCCCCTCCTGCCAACATGTACACACTCACTCTCTCATGTACGGGCTCCACCACAGCAGAGGGTGTTTTTTCCTGCTCATCCATTGAGGCCTAGAAGAGTGCTTGCCACATAGCAGTGCTCAATAACTACTAGATGAAAATCTATCCTTTCAGAGCAAAGGCGTACTCTTAAACTGTTAGTAGTTTGGGGAGCTCATGGTGGTGTGCAGAACGATGGGTGATATTTTTCCTTGTTTTACTTTTTCTGCCTTTTTCTAAATTTCTATAAATATGACATAGTTTTGTGTGAGGGGAAAAACTTAAAATGGGTCATCATTATATTTAGGACGAAAAGTATAGAAGCCATGAAATCAACAGATGTCACTTCTTCAGATATATTCAACATCACTTGTCTATCCATGAACTTCATGACTTTCTTTGTTGTTTTTTTCAGGAACTGCTGTTAAACCAATCTGTCTTCCCAACAGAGATGATACACTTAAAGCAGGGATTCTTTGTATGGCCAGTGGATGGGGCAAGATTTCAGAGAGTAAGAGGCATTAAAAAGTATATATTTCTTCCAGGACTCTGAATGCCCAGGAGAAGGAGAAATAATTTTGTTGACGATAAGAAGTTTCTCCTTTCTTTTCTTCCTAATTTCTAACCTAGGGAAGATTTCTGGTTGTCTTCACTATAGAAAAGTCTTATGCTTTTTAAAGCTGTTCATATCACTCCTGCCCTTTTGTTCAGGTATGACAGATAAAGGAAACTGGATGTAACTATGAGAGATGGGGAGGAATATGGTAAAAGGATAATCAGGAAATGGTAACAATAGTTGAGCTTCCTTGTCTTTAATATTGTGACTTTTTAAAAATTCAAACTCTTAGAAACAAAAAGCAGCAGGATGATTACCAGGGATTTGGGAGTGGGGGAAATGGGGAGATACTAGTCAAAGGGCACAGACTTGCAATTATACAACAAATAAGCTCTGGAGACCTAATGTACAGCATGTTGATTATAGTTAGTAATATTGTATTATATACGTGAAATTTACTAAGAGTAAGTTTTAAGTATTCTCACCACAAAAAGTTAACTATGTGAGGTGATATGTTAATTAGCTCGATTGTGGTAATCACTTCACAATGTATGGGCATATCAAAATATATGCCTTGAATATATATAATTTTTATTTGTCAATTATACCTCAAAGCTTCAAAAGATATACTGGAACTTTTTAATACAGAATTTTAAAAAACATTGCTTTATTAACTAAAGTTTTCCTCTTGGGGAAACATAAACATGTATTCAGAGAAGCCACAGTTTCCTATGTTATCTTAAAAATCTGAATTTTTAAAAAGTGTCCTTTATCACATATATGATTTTTAGAAGTGAACATAATTCACATCTAATAAAATGACTTCTACGTTTGGTTAAAGATCTGTTTGAGATAGTTTTAAACTTGCAGGTTTCTTACCTGTTTCAATGAGGACAACCGTTGACTTAGCACTCCTTTCTCTACAGCGTCAGAGTATTCAAATGTCCTACAAGAAGTGGAACTTCCCGTCATGGATGACAGAACGTGTAATACTGTGCTCAGGAGTATGAACCTCCCTCCACTGGAAAGGACCATGATGTGTGCTGGTTTTCCTGGTGGGGGAATGGCTGCCTGCCAGGTACGAAAGCACAGACCAGCTCAGTTGTTCAGTAATGTGGGTGAAAGTGGATTCTGCCTTTCCCTCATGAGCTCCTTTTAGGGAGCTACTGTGTCAAATTCCTTTTCTTCTGAACCTTCCATCTGGCTTCTACTGAAAAAGCGTAGCTGAGCTGAGAGAATTCTGTCTGTCTCTATTCCCATTCCTCTTCCTACATCTGTTTTATTTGGGGTTGGGGTCAGGGGTTAGTTTCAACATGTCCAAACTGATGGAATTAAGCAAGATGACCACTTCAACAGTCTTATTAGATCCAGCTATGAATTAATCCTTTGTTCCATATTTTGCTAACTACTGTAATTCTTTTTCATTGAGTGAAGAATATGGTCACACAAAGTTTGACCAAAGACACATACCTTTAGTAACTGCTGGATAAGAGATGTTGCAAATGACAATGACCTCCCAAGACTGACACAACAACTTCACAAAGAATACCAATTTTTATGAGATATAGAGAGGGGAAAATAGAGACCAACTTGTGAAAGACACAAGTCTTAAGTTTTAGATAGGTCTCCCAAATAAATTATTTTCTTTATAATTTATTATAAATTAAAAAGCAGCAGGGAACAGCAGGGAGTCATTATTCTTTGCCAGAAAGCAGCTTGAAACTGTTGTGGGAAGCTCCCTGAAATTATCTGTTGGAAGAATTTCTAAGTTTTTCTTCAAGGGAGTGACAGGAGGAGTTTGGGAGGCAGGAGATAGAATCTTACACTTATACCACTTTCTAAACTGTAACACAGATAGGCTAAAGGTGCTTTGTGTTATCTTCACTCATTATAGGCAGTTCTTTTTTGGATGAAGTCCCCAGAAAAACAATTCTGCACCTTTTGAGGAGACGTTAGTTTGTCACAAGATTGAAACATATTCTCAAAGCAGCATATATTCTGGAACGTTATTGAAGACAGGATCCTAAAATCTTGGAATCTTTATTCTCTAGCATGGGAGCCAATGTGATCCTTTGCATATGCTCCCTGGGACAAAATTAGGTTGCCCAGTCTTCCTGTTTTCAAAGACTTGAGGCCTTAGAACAACCTTGGGGTCTCTATTCACTGATGCTATAGGCTTGGGAGATGACCTAGTCTTTCCCAACAATTCCAGGTGAACAAGCTACAGTAGAAGCATATATCTGTAACTACACCCACTTCTTCCATTGATTTTTGAAATGAACATGACAATTTCCAAAAAAAGAGAAAAATTAAGCTTTAGTCTGACAAGATTGTAACCAGTAGGTGCAAAGAGATTACATCTGAATGAAAAGATGATGCTTTGAAGCTAATGACTTGGTAACAACAAAACGGAGAAACAAAAATTTGGATGATGACTAGTGGACTTCTATGCCTCTACTTCTTCTCACTTTGAGATGAGTGCTGATGTTTGTGAAACTGATGAAATATTTTATCCTATGGCTATTTTAAAAATTTTCTCTCTTCTGTACTATAAAAGCAGGACTCTGGAGGACCACTGGTGTGTAGAAGAGGTGGTGGAATCTGGACCCTTGCTGGGATAGCTTCCTGGGTAGCTGATTATGCTAGAGGTTCAGCTCCTCTAAGAAATCACCACAGGAAAGCATCACTTGGCATTTTCTCCAAGGTGTTCGAGTTGATGGATTTTATCACTCAAAACATCACAGGTGGGTGAATTCTTCCTCTTCATTTCATTCTAAGACAAAAACTGATCATGCTTATCTCAGGGGTAGTCACTCTGTTATAATAAAATTAGAGCTAAGCTTTAGAACAAAGCAAGAATATGGCTCGTTTTAAGTTCTACCAAGACTACCAATTTATATAAATTTGTCTGAATTCCTGAGGACTGATATCTATAGCTTGAACAAACCAAGTCCCTGTGTAAAATTTTCATGTCTTTTTGCATCTGTGAGACTTTATAAACAGACTTCGAGAACACTTATCAGGGATTCTTTCTTCATTTCTCAGTTGACATTTTTTTCTCTACTTAAGAATACTAAAACCAAATCACTCCTTTCCCACCTCACCCATTCTGCCTTATTCATTTATTTGGCAATGTGGGAAAATATAAGGGAGACTTTGGAGAGTTAATTTGATTCTGCAGCACTAAAATCTAGATAAGGAAAATGTGGGTCTGGAGATGCCCAGCCTGTTCTCAAGGAACTTTCTAATTATTTAGGAAGGAAAAAAAGGTAGAAAGAGTTACAATAAACGGGTGGAGCACAGGTAAGCTCAGAGAGCTGTAAGAGCACCGAGGGAAAGAGTTCTGGGAGGCTCAGTCCTGAGAGACCAGAATGTAGCTGTGAAAAGGGGCAACTTCTGCAGAAGCAAATGACACAACAGGCAGCCTCTGCAGAACGAAGCAGCGAGAAATAACACAACTTCCAGAACAAGTTGTGTAGTACAGGAACCAAATTGATAGCACCCAGAGCCCCAGAACATGGCATTCTCTGTCCCTCTCCCCTTGTGGTCCAAGGTCAGTCACCTAGCTGAGGACCTTGAGAAGCGCCACTGCTGTTGGTCCAGCTGCAGGCCAGCGCTGCCTCAGATGATGGTAGGCAGACTCCCAGCTCACTTTTGTTCGGTCTTAGGCATAAAAGTCCTCTGTTCATTGCTGTACTGCAGGGGGGCAGTTCTCTCCAGGTAGCAATTGCATTCTATTTTGATCACCTGGAAAAGAAGGTCGACAAGGCTAATGAGCCCTGACAAAGGGTAATGGTAACAATAAGATTTTAAAAGGGCAACGAAATCAGGCAATAAGGGTTAGTTCCACAGTCAAATGAACATTAGAATGTGATAAGTAATTTATTTAAATAATACTTCCTTAGGATGATCTTTCTAAGCTTCTCTCCCTTTATTTGCTTATTTCTACCCGTCTTCCCTCATCCCTCCCTGTAACTGACTATGCTTTTATTTCCCTATTTCTTACCCCTTAAAAATTAGATGAATTGAATCTTTCACGTCTTAACTTTAAAACCACCCTAACCATCAAATTAAATTAATTTCTGCTTCCATGTAGCCCTTTAGCCTATTTTTAAAAACATAGCAGGCCCCTGACTCTGAGAAAAGGTCCCCTCTGCATTGATTTTTTAGTAGAAGTTATAGTCCTTAATATTAATGTCACATTGTCAAAACTGTCATTTAAATGAGTATTTTAACATTATTTATTGTTGGGAAAGGCATTAACTCTTTACACCCTGTACAGATTTGGATCAAGGCAAACCCTTCTCAAGAATGAGTCGGAGTGTGACGAAGGGCCTGAGTTCTGTCCGAGGTGTGCGTGGGAGCCGGAGAGGAAAGGGTATGTGTGGTCCTGCTTATCTAGGTAGGAAGCTGACTTGGGAGTTGTCATCAAGAGAAGGCAAATAGAAGAATTGTACCATATTCATAATCTGAATTTTATTTGAGTTGTGAATGTCAACTTTAAAATGCCCTGCTCATATTCATACACAGAGCTTCCAACATGTAAAACCTGACATTGGCATCTGAATATTTTGAGTGAATAGAGACTTGCTATGCCATCGCTAAAAGTCGCATACATTTCCTTTAATGTCTTTATACAAAGGTATTTTAGCATTATACTCAGGACATCCTAGAAAGAGATGGGAAAGTTGGATAAATTTTAAATCTGAAGAATTGTTTTAAAAAGAAAGCA